CGGCTCACCGCAACCTCCGCCTCCTGGGTTCAGGCAATTCTCCTGCCTCAGCCTCCTGAGTAGCTGGGATTACAGGCACGCGCCACCATGCCCAGCTAATTTTTTGTAGTTTTTAGTAGAGACGGGGTTTCACCATGTTGACCAGGATAGTCTCGATCTCCTGACCTCGTGATCCACCCGCCTCGGCCTCCCAAAGTGCTGGGATTACAGGCGTGAGCCACCGTGCCCGGCCTGGTGCTTTCTACGCTCGGTCCAATACAACAATAGTACCATGGATCTATACTTCTCCAACATAGCCCATCTCAGTTACTGATTTCACATCCAATCAATTGGCAAAAGATTGAACAAATATTTTTCAATAGAGCAAGGGCAAGGGTTAGTACACTATGGCCAACAACACAAATCCAGCCAGTGGACTGTGTTAAAAAAAAACAAACAAAAAAAAACAAACAAAAAAAAAACCAACTGGAAAGCCATTAGGTTGAGACAGCTCCAGCACTTTGGGTTCCTATGTAAACAAACCAAAACCCAACTCAATGTAAACAGTAAAACTAACTTGAGTTGAATCAGTCAGAAACCACCAACCAACTTCTAACTAGAGACATTCCACTGTAACCAATCAAATATTTGCTTTGTCTATTTCCATAAACACCTTATAAAAGTTTTTCCCTCATACCCTCTTGGTGGAGTCTTGAACCACTTGTGGTCTGGTGATACCCAATTTATGAAATTGCTGAATACTCATATAAACTCTAAAATTTTAATGTGCCTAAAGTTATCTTTTAACAACTGTTTTTGTATAACCCATTTGCTAAGAATGGTTTTTACATTTTTAAAGGGTTGAGGTAAAAAGAAAAGAGGAAAAAAAGAGAAAAGAATATGGAACAGACACTGTACAGCCTGTAAAACCTAAAATACAGGTAGTCCAAGCTTCACACATTACTTGGTTAACTGAAACTCTACAAAGCAAGGGCTGCCTACATTTATTGTCTGGTCCCTTACAGAAACAGAGGATACCCAAATGCCAGTAAGCACATGAATACATGTTCAATACCATTAATCATTAGGGAATTTAGGGGAAAACCCCAATGTTATGTCACTATATGCCTACTAGAATGGCTAAAATGAAAAAGACAATGTGAAATGTTGAAATATTTGGAAGAAACAGAATTTTCAGCCTGCCACTAAAGTGCAAATTGACACAATGTGAAAAACTTTTTGGTAGTGTATACCACAAACACACATCTGCATATCCTGTAACACAGTAATTTTACTAGTAGGCATATACGCAATAAAAATGTATACATAATTTCATCAAAACATTTATAAAAACCTTCATAGCAGCCCTATTGGTAATAGCCAAAACTAGGTGGAATACTATACATACGGCATGAGAATAAACTGAAACATAACTTGAATAAATCTCATAAACATAATATTGAGTAAAAATCAGACACTAAGGACTAAATACCATATTACTCCGTTTATGTAAAGTAAATAATAGATGAAATTCATTGATAATGTTAGAAGTCCAGATAATGATTACCTTTGGAACTATGAAGTGGGGTTTTTGGGATGCAATGATGCTCTTTCCTGATCTAGATACTGGATATGTGAATATATATACTTTGTGAAAATTCACTGAGCTGTACACTTATGATTCATGCATTTATCTATATGTCTTTATACTTTAAATATTAATGCAACAAAAATATTGCTATAAACTCTAGGCCTTTGAAGGAAAATTGTATATATCTCCCATTCATTTTGCTGACTGCCATCATTACCTCCCATCAATGACATGTCTTGATTCCTATTACCTTATATTAAAAAGTCAGCTTTGTTTTAATTCATTTTATTGGCATATGATTGCATAGAACGATTATGTAATCATTTTAGATTAATTCCGTAACAGATCACAAGGAAAAACTTTGAAAAGCCAATAATTTGTAATAGTATATTCAAATTATCTGGGGAAAAAAAAAAAAAAAACACCTCCTTGAAGTGTAGTTTTGTTTGGCCCTTTGTTTTGGCTTATCTCTGTCTACTACTACTGATTTAACCAACATAAAATGCTCAAAGAAGCTTTTCCAAATGTCTGTGCTTGTGGAAAGTTGTATCTTTCTACCATCCTTGACTAACAATGCGCTGTCTTGGACCCTTCAGTTACCTCCATCCATCGAGCTTAAAATGCTTCCCAAATGTTGCACTGGGCCCAGGGACATTGTGAACCAAAAAAAAAAAAAAAAAAACCAAAAAACTAACAGTATCTTTTTACAGCGTGGCTCAGCGCGCCTAAAGAAGCACCTCATTCTTCGCTCACACTTCCAAGTGTGAAAACTGAAATATAAAACGATTAAGTGACTCTCTCAAGGACACAGAGTCGAGCGAGGACTGGAAGCTTCTGACCGCGACTTAAGGGGAAAAAAAGAAACAAAAAACAAAAACAAAAAACATACACCCTTGAATGAATGCTCAGCTGCTCAGCTCCAGTATTAGGAAACTGGAGACAAAACCGAAATCATACCCAGAAAGAGTTGTCTGCCACCTGAGGACCCCACCACACTGACCCTAGGGGGCCCGTCCTCACTCCCGGCTGCGCGGGGTCAGCATTCACTGAGTACAGACTCTGCGCTGCCCCATTTCCTTCTCCAAGAAAAAGTCTGCGGCTGAAAACTCCAGGCTGATCTATGCCCACCACTATCACTCTCCGTCGCCCAAACCGCCCTGCCCCACCGTTTACCTGAGACGCGCCCGGCGTCGCTTGAGGAGTCGACTCGGCGAGCTCGCCCAGAGTTTCTCAGGCCCAGTGCGCAGCCACCACGTCAGCCAATCGCCGCAGGCTCGGAGCCTCCCGGCCCGAGGCCCACCCACAAATGACCGGGCAGGGAGGCGGGGCAGGGCCCGGAACGGGAGGGAGAGTGAGAGCCGGTTGCCGGCGGCGCGCGAGGGCTTACGGTGCGGCGGCGCGCCGCCAGAGATGGCGCAGACGGCGCGCACCGGGCATGCGCATGCCTCGCCGCCTGGCCGCGAGGTGGGTCCTCCAGGCGAAAGAGAGCCTGGGAAGGGCAGGAAAGAGTTTGGATAGAAAGTAGGCGGACTTAAAACGCCGCGGTGGCTGCCCTAACGGGTCGCTTATTGTTGTCCAGATCTGAGACGAGGAGCGCAAAACCTGCTTTCTCTTCCGAAAGAGCAAAACGTTGTCTGGACAAAACCTAATCAGATGAGAAGAGGGAGAACGGAAAACTGAAAACGGCGTCTTGTGGCTTCACACTTGGGCTCGTCGAGTTTTCTTAGGACCTGGCGAAATTGTGGTTTCCTTCTTTGTGTGCGGTTTGGGATGAGAGGTGGGAGGGGCGTGTTTCGAAGCGGCGGTCAAGTGAAAGGGCAAGGGATCGAGCTCCGGTCGAGTGAGCGATAGTACTACCTAGGTCCTGGCCAAAAAACGTTTCATACTAAAACCTTGGAGCTGGTGACTTTTTTTTTTTGACTGAAGTGTTGGAAGGAGTTCTGGATTCTTATATACGATATGTGAATCCTCTAAGAAAAAATGTCGAACCTTCCAGAATTTAACAAATTCCAAAGTTTGTTCCATAGTTCAGAATTGCTTTTATAAATGTCACTTCAACTCCTGTTACTCATAATTTCTTCAGACACCAAATACTTAGTGAGCACATACTATGTGCCAGGTACTCTTCTAAGTGCTGAATAATTAACAATATTTTTTAATACACCCCAGAGAGTAGGCATAATATGAAGTACTGACGGGTTCCTAAATTGGTGTTTAAGTTAATGAACGGAACTTATCCTTTAGTAAGTGTACAAAAGAGAGTTTAAAAAACTAAAAAAGGCCAGATGCCGCGGCTCACACCTGTAGTCCCATAAGACCGAGGCTTGAGCCCAGGAGTTTGAGACCAGCCTGGACAACATAGTGAGATCTTGGCTTTATTAAAAATCAAACAAATTAGCTGGGCATGATGGTGCATACCCGTAGTACCAAGCTACTAGGGAGGCTGAGGTGGGAAAATCGCTTGAACCCCAGAGGTGGAGACTGCAATGAGCTGCAATGGCTGGTGTCATGGCACTCCAGCCTAGGGGACAGAGCATGACCCTGTGAAAACTAACAAAATGGAAAACTTGGACGTAAATTACTTGGAACAACAGAGGTTATAATAGTCATAAAATTTTGGTTATGTATGCTATAATGAACAGACAGTGCTCTGAAGAAGTTTGTTACAGATTCAGCTTTGAAATGCTTTTTTTTACTTTACTTCAGTCAGGATTTGAATCATATTTGTGAACATAAAATACCATAAAAATCTATGAAGCAAAAACAGAGATTGTACAGTTTGTCAGAGTAAATACTCCAATCAGGAAGTATATGGCTTGTGTGAAAGATTAGGGCCAAATCAAATTATGTATAAAACAAAGCAAAAAGTTGCTTTTCCCGGCTAGGAAATAAGAAATAAAGCAGTATAATGATTACCACACTGAGAACATTCAAACCATGTAATGAATTAGAATAAATTTAGAGAAAATTATAATATTTTTCATTGAGTAAAGTTCATTTCCCTCTTTTTTTAAAGCCCATTATCTCCGTGCTTACAGTCTCCAGGATAAAGAGAAACCTCATGTTTCCTTTCAGTAAGCTGATTTTCCCCCTCTCTCTCTGTTTTATGCAATGAGTTCAAACATTAGGACTAATTCTCTCTATTCTTGGCTGGGCACGGTGGTGGCTCATGCCTGTAATCCCAGCACTTTGGGAGGCCAAGGCAGGTGGATCACGTGGTCAGGAGATCAAGACCATCTTGGCTAACATGGTGAAACCCTGTCTCTACTAAAAAATAAGAAAATTAGCTGGGCTTGGTGGAACATGCCTGTAGTCCCAGCTACCTGGGAGGGCGAGGCAGGAGAATTGCTTGAACCTGGGAGGCAGAGGTTGCAGTGAGCTGAGATTGAGCCAATGCACTCCAGCCTGGGAAACTGAGCAAGACTCTGTCTCAAAAACAAACAAACAAAAATTTCTCCCCATTCTTTTTCATAATGTACCTGAAGTAACTCATTAATGCTCTTTCCCTAAAACTTTTCATATGACAACAGGAAAGTTTTCCCCTACTCTCCTCCACCACCACCATAACTAATATATCCATTTCTTCATTCTCTATCCTTCTAACAGTTGCCTGTCTAAAGAAATGAAAGAGATAAATTAGAGCTTTTTTTCTCTTTGCAAAATGATTGTCAAAGATAATGTCTATGTCCTCATTCCTCATATAAGCTGGACTTTTGCAGAAATATGGACGAAGATGAGGAGAAGGAAATGAACTACTCTTTTATTACAGGTAACAAAAGAATGTCGGATTATTAATATTATCGAGTCTATAAATATCAGGCTCCCACAATGTGTCACACACTGATTGGTTCTGAAAACAAAATAATGAATAACAATTAGGCACACAAGTAGCTGAGAATACTCTGTGTATTAATCAGGGCTCTCCAGAGAAACAGAACAAACAGGATATGTGTGTATACATAGAGAGAGGGAGAGTGATTTACTGTAAGGAAATGGCTCATGCAATTATGGACTTTTAGTGAGTCCAAAATCTGAGGGAAGAAGCTAGTAAGCCTCAGAAAAGAATTGCAGATGAACCCACATTATAGAATGTAATGTTTTATTCAGTCTGCTGATTTAAATGGTAATCTCATCAAAAACAAAAACACCTTCACAGAAGCATCCAGGATAATGTTTCACCAAATATCTGTGCACCATGGCCCAGCCAAGTTGACAGAATTAACCATAATACTGTGTAAACAGAAATGGCTCTAGGAGAGGGGAGTTTAGGGGATGAGGAAGACACACTCAGGAAAATCCAAAGGGGATAATGCTTCCTGTAGTATGAATAAGACTTAGGGAGGTGAAGAGGTGAGAGTGGAGGTGCAGAGAAAACAAAATTCCTTATAAAGGAATCAATATGGAGGCAAGACACTGTAAGGAGCTATAAGCAATTTAGTATCATAGTATAAAATTTAACATGGAAAGTGATGGGAAATGAAGTTGGAGGGATTATGTAAGGTCTTTTTTAAAAATAGAGCTGGGGACTCACTACGTTGCACAGGCTGGTATCAAAGTCCTAGCCTCAAGCAATTCTCCCACTTTGGCCTCCCAAAGTGCTGGAATTACATGCATGAGTCACCATGCCAGGGAATATAAATGATCTTTCAATTAATTACCTTGGTCTTAATTCTATAGTCAATAAAAATTGAAAGTTAAACAAGAGTGATGAGATCAGATTTACACTTTCATTCATCAATTTTGACATATATTTCAGAATCAAAATTATCAAGTTTGCAAGACTAGTTAATCTAATTGAAAATGATAAAAGAATTGGGCTCTGTGGCTTATGCCTGTAACCTCAGCACTTTGGGAGGCTGAAGCAGGTGGATCACTTGAGGCCAGGAGTTCAAGACCACCCTATCCAACATAGTGGGATGCCCCCATCTCTACTAAAAATACAAAAATGAGCCAGGCATGGTGGGACACATCTGTAATCTCAGCTACTCAGGAAGCCAAGGCATGAGAATTACTTGAACCTGGGAGGCAGAGGTTGCAGTGAGCCGAGATTGTGCCACTGCACTCCACCCTGTCTCAAAAAATAAGTAAATAAATAAATAATAAAATGTATGAGGTAAAGCAGGATAGATGAAAGAGGGTGGCTTGAAGAAGTAGGAACTAGTTTGCAAATCTAGTAACTAGTTGAGAAAGAGGAAAGCATTGATGATATTAAAGAAATTGGTGAATAAGTAAGTTCAATTTTTGATAGAATGAGTTTAAAGTGCTAGGGAAACGTCATTAGAGTAGCTTTGCAGCAGTCACATGCAAGGAAGTGTTCTGGACTGGGCTATACATGAAATTAATGAACATAGATATGATGGTTAAAACTATTTTTTAAATTTTCAAGTCAGTCCCATAGCTGAAGCGGGTGGATCGCCTGAGGTCAGGACATCTAGACCATCCTGGTCAACGTGGTGAAACCCCCTCTCCACTAAAAAAAAAACAAAAATTAGCAGGTGTGGTGGTGGGTGCCTGTAATCCCAGCTACTCAGAAGGCTGAGGCAGGAGCATCGCTTGAACCTGGCAGGCAGAGGTTGCAGTGGGCCAAGATCACGCCATTGTACTCCAGCCTGGGTAACGAGAGTGAAACTCTGCCTCTAAATAAATAAATAAATAAATCCTATAATTTAGATTAATGAAAAAAATCAAAATTTGTAGGATGCCTATAAAGCAGTACTTAGAAGAAATTTATAGTACTAAACACCAATATTAGAAAAGAGCGACCTCAATAACCTTAGCTACCACCTCAAGAAACTAAGAACAAAACAAAATAGCGTAAATGACAGAGTGGGAATAATAAGAACAGAAATCAGTGTAACAGAAAACAGAAAAGCAATACAGAAAAATGAATGAAATTAAAACCTGGTTGTCTGATAACACCAATAAAATTAAGCGATCAAGAAATAAAGGAGACATACCCAAATAAATGAAGGTTAATTAAAAAAAGAAAAAAAAAAGACAGAAGACTACCAATATCAGAAATTAAAGAAGTGACATCACTACAACTTCTACAGATATTAAAAGAGGGATATTATTAAAATTTTATGCCAATAAACTTGATAACTTACAGGAAATGGACAAATTTCATGCAAAAGTAAGCGAAGATATGATCTTAGCTCTAGTCTAACCTTAGCCAGGTCCAAAGGCAGCCTTGGAGCATGAGTTGCAACACAGTACAGTAGTCTCCCTTTATTTGTAGTTTAACAGTTTCAGTTACCTGCAGTCAATCATGGTCCAAAATTATTAAATGGAAAATCACAGAAATAAACAATTCACGAGTTTTAAATTGTGTCATTCAGAGTGCATGATGAAATATTGGGCCATCCCATTTTGTCCTGCCTGGGATGTGAATCGTGCCTTCGTCCAGCATTATCCATGCTGTATATACTACCCAACCTGTGAGTCATCTACATTGCTTCTGACAACCAAGCATATCATCACTGCCTGATGATCCAGGATCACCAAGAAGCATTTAGGTATGGTCAGAAGGTCAGTATTAGCCTAATGCTATGTTGCAATGGCTATGTCATGCACCTCACTTCATCTTATCATGTAGGCATTTCATTATTATACATCATCACAAGAAGAAAGTTGAGTATAGTACAATGTTATGAGAAAGAGACATTTACATAACTTTTATTATACTGTATTGTTGTAATTGCTTTATTTTTATTATTTTTGTTAATCTCTTACTGTGCCCAATTTTTTATTTTCTTTTTTTGAGACGGAGTTTCACTCTTGTTGCCCAGGCTGGAATGCAACAATCCTGGCTCAATGCAATCTCCACCTCCTGGGTTCAAGCGATTCTCCTGTCTCAGCCTTCTGAGTAGCTGGGATGGCATGTGTCACCATGCTCTGCTTATTTCATATTTTTAGTAGAGACAGGGTTTCATAATGTTGGCCAGACTGGTCTCAAATTCCTGACTTCAGGTGATCCACCTGCCTCAGCCTCCCAAAGTGCTGAGATTACAAGTGTGAGCCACCGCGCCCAGTCTGACTGTGCCCAATTTAAAAATTACACCTTATCACAGATACATATGTATAGGAAAAAAAATGTGTCATTTGCTGTTTCAGGCATCTACTGGTGGTCTTGAAATGTATTCCCAGTGGTTAAGGGATGACTACTGTATTGGTCCCACCTTAAGACAAAGAGGTCAGCATTTTGTTCCCCTTTTTATTTCAGTCAGTCATCCGCTATGACGTTGCCTCCAGCATGGAGAAGTGGAAAATGGTGACATATGTAACCTCCCAGGTAAGGTAGTGATGTGTGTAACTTCCCAAGCTTCTCTTGGGCTGAGGACATGTTATGGTTTGGCTGTGTCTCCACCCAAATCTCATCTTGAATTGTAGCTCCTATAATTCCCTCATGTTGTGGGAGGGGCCCAGTGGGAGATAACTGAATCATGGGGGTGGTTCCCCTACTTCCACCATTCTTATGGTAGTAAACAAGTCTCATTCACTTATTGCAGAGATGAGCAAAGATACGATCTCAGTTATAGTCTAACCTTAGCCACCCAAGAATAAGATCTGATGGTTTTATAGGGGAAACCCCTTTTGCGTGGCTTTCATGCTCTTCTCTTGTCTGTCTCCATGTGAGACATGCCTTTCACCTTCAGCGATGATTATGAGTCCTCCCACCCTCATGGAACTATAAGTCCAATAAACCTCTTTTACTTTATAAATTACCCAGTCTTGGGTATGCCTTTATCAGCAGTGTGAAAATGGACTAATACAGGATGTTTCTCTAGAAAAGAAATTATGAGTTTATAGCCATCAACACAGCAGCTGGTATGGGTGGGCCAGCTTGGTAAAGGGATTTATTTGTGTGACAGAATATAGTTTGTTTAGCCTGTGGTTAATATTTAAATCTACAATCCACTGCTATCAAAAGAAGGAATCCTGGGATGGAATCCCAGCTATAGTATTATTCCTGGTGTGATCTTGGAAAACTCACTTTCTGCTTTGGAAAATCAGGGAAATATTTTCTATCAGCTCTGAAATTCTATGTCTAGTATATAGTAGGTTCTCAATATTTGTTAAATAAGTGATTCTATATTGTACTCAAGATCCCATATTTAATTAGTAAAAGTCTGAAAGACATTGCTCAAAAGCCTTTATTCTATCAAGTTAGCAAAATTTCTGAAAACTATTTCTTGGTAAATATTTTCAAACTTAGCAGTTTTATTCAAATATTTAATGAAATGAAAAACTTTATTTTTTATACCTGATCACATAAGCAATAAGTCTCCCCAATTCCTCAAACCATTTAAATAATTCTGCCAGATATTACGGACTAACTTTTAATGACCCAGCCTAAGAAATGAGAATAAAGTATGAAACCAAATTATTGTACTTTGTACATTTGATTAGAAATCATATAAATTGAACCATACTAAATTGCTGATATTCACCAGTTCTTGACCCCTCAAAATGGCAATTTTTATATGGCCCACACTAAATATATTTAGCATTAAATAATGTGTTTTAAGAAATATTACAATAGGGCTTCCAAAGCCTCCCAGTTCTCCCTTTTACTCTTATCATCTCCTGTCTGTTAGGGGTGTGGCAGCTATTTTTGGAAAATTTCACAATCTTTTATCTTTCCTGCATAGCATAGGCAACTTGTAGTTTCTTTAAAAAGTATAAATTAGTAGTTTTGTTTTGCTAACTATCCTAAGCAGCTAGTATGAATAATCAAGCCTTTAATAGAGAGAATATACTAAGTTATTTAATGTTCCTCAATTGTTTAGGTCAGTGGTTCACAACCTTTAACGTTCATGACAACCAACAGAGAACTTGTTTCTGGGCCCTATTGCCAGAGATTCTGATTCAGTTTAGGTCGGGGTGGGAGCCATGAATTTGACTTCCTAACAAATTCACAAATTATGCTGCTGCTATAGGTACTAAAACCACTGTTAAGAACCACTGACTTGGGTACAGAAAAAACTATTTGTAACCAGGCTTTTTCTTCTTTCGGTCCTTAGGTAAATAAAACTCAGGGTGATGAGGTATCATTTTACCTTCAATCAAAACTATTTTTAGTAAAGTACTACCTTGCTTACCTCTATTGAAAGGTAAGTGTAAATTAGACTTGCTTCGACGTGGTTGCTACAGACCACAATTACAGGGCAACTGAGAAATTTATTCACTTGTCCTTTCTTTCGAATCTCACTGTGCTCTGGCTTGCCAGGAGGTGTAAGTGTCTTCCCAGCCTTGCACCTAGCGCTCCAGGCCTGGGTCACTTCACTTGAGTTATCAGAGGCAACGCGTCCAGTTGACAAACTCTGCCGGAGGCTCCTGATAGAGAAGGGCGTGGGCGCCAATGGTGAGCCAACCCAACCCCATCCGCGAGTCTTCTTTACAGGGACCTTTTCCGAGCCGAGGGCACCTCTGCAAGAGCGCTTCGGCCAGGTTCCGACTCGCCGGAGATCGCGCGACGAATCTGCGCCTCGGACCCTCGCCTTCCGGCAGTCGCCGGATCGCTGCCCCACAGGGAGCCAACCCGCCAGAGGACCAGCCCAGCGCGGGCTCCGTGGATCAGCTGGCTGTGCAGGCGGCGAGTTCGCCCACGCATCTCAGTCCACTACCTCGTCCTCCTGTCCGCGAAGATGTCCGCGAAACCTGAAGTAGGCTTAGTGCGCGAGGCTTCTCGACAGATCGTGGCCGGTGGTTCTGCAGGTAAGGCCACCCCGCCCTGCCCCGCCGGAGTCTAGGCGCTTTCCCTACCGTTTGTCCTGAAAAAGTTTCCCAGATAGGTCTTCCTACTGAAGTTTTGCCCTCTTCCTCAAAATTCCGCCTTCCCAGAGCAGTGCTTGAGCCTGTGGAGGCGCGAGAGCAAAGGAGGCCGGGAGCTGACTGCTAGTACCCTGTGCTCCAAGTTAAGTTGCCGCGGCGTCGGCGCCGGCCCCTCTCGGGTTCCCGGCATTCTCTGTTCCTGGCCTGTAAAGCAGGTAGGACAACTCTAAGGAGAGCGACTTTGAGGTAATCTTTTTGCCTTGCTGGCTATTTTACTTGAAAATGATCCAGTTCAGTCTTAGTTTTATCAATTGTAGCGTCTTTCTTCAAGCTCGCTCAGATCTTAAATAAATCCTGCCTTCCTCATCAAAGTACTTACATCAGGACTCCACAGGACTTCTTATTGCATACTGTGCTTGCTTGGGGATATTCGTGCCTTAAATAAGCATATTAAAATTAAATGCATATGTTAATACACCTAAACACCTTGGTATAATGGGCTCACGTTAATTTACAAAGTTATGCTGTGGGGGAAAAACAAACGGTTAAGAAATAATGTTATAATTTATCTTGGAAATACTTTTAAATGTAGCTGGAGAAAGTTACCACGAGTTGTGTTATGTGCAAGTATTTTAAAGCTATTTTAAAATATAAATTATGATTTGGTTTAAAATTTAATCTTTTTTTTTTTTTTTTTTTTTTTTTTTTTTTGAGACGGAGTTTCGCTTTTGTTACCCAGGCTGGAGTGCAATGGCGCGATCTCGGCTCACCGCAACCTCCGCCTCCTGGGTTCAGGCAATTCTCCTGCCTCAGCCTCCTGAGTAGCTGGGATTACAGGCACGTGCCACCATGCCCAGCTAATTTTTTGTATTTTTAGTAGAGACAGAGTTTCACCATGTTGACCAGGATGGTCTCGATCTCTTGACCTCGTGATCCACCCACCTCGGCCTCCCAAAGTGCTGGGATTACAGGCGTGAGCCACCGCGCCCGGCCCAAAATTTAATCTTAATCACGCATTTTTATTGTAAATATGTAATTAAAATAATTGCAATAATTGGCTCATCACCAGAAAACATTTTATAAATGTATCCATTCTTTTAATAAATTATGTTATGGTAACTAATAAATCATGTTAAGGCAATGACTAGAAGATGTTCAAATGTTTAATTTCGACTAGTAAAAGTTACTGTATTTTCAAACAAATCTGTACTTTTTGTAAGGGACTACTGCAAATTATGACTGGTTATCACTATGTCATGACCTAGTTGCATCTCAGGAGTACCATAAGCAGCCACATGTGTCACTTACAATCTGGACACTTTCTTAAAGATGATATTTCATCAATATGACATTAGAGGCATGCATTTCTTACAGGCAATTGTAAAATGTTAGTTCTTTTGTTTATTTCTTGCTCTCTCTCTTTTTCTCTTTCTCTCTTTTTATGTTTTTGAGATGGAGTCTCGCTCTGTTGCCCAGGCTGGAAGGCACCAGAGCTGGAGTGCAGTGGCGTGATTTCAACTCACTGCACCCTCTGCTTCCCGGGTTCAAGTGATCCTCCCACCTCAGCCTCCTGAGTAGCTGGAAGTACAGGTGTGTGTCACCATGCCAGCCATTTTTAAAATTTTTTTGTAGAGATGGGCTTTTGCCATGTTGCCCAGCCTGGTCTCAACCTCCTGGGCTCAAGCAGTCCTCCCACTGCAGCCTCCCGAGTAGCTGGGATTACAGGCGCCCACCACCATGCCGGGCTAATTTTTTTTTGGAGATGGGGAAGGGGATTTTTTTTTTTTTTAGAGACAGGGTTTCACTATGTTGCCCAGCTGGTTTCAAGCAGTCTGACCCCCTTGACCTTCCAAAGTGGTGGGACTACAGGCGTGAACCAACTGCCCAGCCCATCCATTATTATAATGGCAGTGGCCCCATGGCTTGCTCTTTTAGTTTTCCAATTGTGGTGATGAATTTGCACCAAGTTATTTACCATTTTTGGTCAAATTCCACAATGCCTAAGGTTCTGTCTTCTGTACCTGACTCGTTGATTTGTAGTACAGGACCCTGATCAAAGAAAACTCAGCTAGTCCAAAGAAAAAGTGAGTCCAACTAACATCCTAAGCTAAGACCAATGACTCATAAGCATTTGTATAGTGATTTATGTGATCATACTATGTATTAGGCACAGCTAAACTCAAAAGAATGTTAAAAGTAGATCAAACTCAGCTGGGCGTGGTGGCTCATACCTGTAATCCCAGCACTTTGGGAGGCTGAAGTGGTCGGATCACGAGGTCAAGAGATTGAGACCACCCTGGCCAACATGATGAAACCCCGTTTCTATGAAAAACGCAAAAATTAGCTGGGCGTGGTGGCATGCGCCTGTAGTCCCACCTGCTTGGGAGGCTGAGGCAGGGAAATCACTTGAACCTGGGAGGCAGAGGTTGCAGAGAGCCTGGGTGACAGAGTGAGACTGTCTCAAAAAAAAAAAAAAAAAAAAAAAAAAAAAAGAGTAGATCAAACTGTAATTCTGCTTGTGCTGTTTTGTTGAGTGATAAGTACTTGGCATAAATATGTGTGATTCCATCATCTATTCTTATAATTGTAACTAATACAAATAAAATTAGGACATTTATAAGATAATTTAAAAATAGCAGCACAGTTGATTGCCTGTGCTTCCTAGTGTCCTCCTCAGTCCTAACTCCATCAGTAACTGTGGAGTTATTGATAAATGATTAGAGTTATTTATACTTTCATAATAGTAAAAAAGAGTTATATTTTCTTGTACTTGGCCAAAAGCATTTTCATAAAACTTTATCTTTATTGCACTGTAATAAATGTGGGCTAACCATATTACATGTACTGGTCAAGGCCAGACAAAAATTAATATACAAGAGAGGCAGAATCTTAATAAAAACAGGAAATGCATTTGAATCTTTGGCACTGGGGTTCTGATCACTGATATTGTCATTGAATACAATACTACTCTGTGTGTGTGTGTGATACAACCTTTTGTTTGTAAAGGTCAAAGATACATTCTTGGCTTTCTTAGGGGAAAAAGAAACTGGGAGGTTTATGGGAAAGATACAAGGGTATCTCGTGGAATTCAAGGTCTGGGATGCATTCCTGGAACGTACTGGAATCAGGGGTTGGAGTGCTGAGGATAACTCAGGAAGTGAACTCTCTCCGTCTCTTCTCTTTGTCAAGTAGTCAAGTGTTCCTAAGGCAGCGGGGAGGCACCTAATAATAGGGCCACAAGTATCACTACTATACCTGTCAGGATGGCTTGCAAGACTTCCCCAGTTACTTAACTGGTTAGGAGGAAGCATGCCCAAATGCAGTCAGATAGCTTAGTAGTTAGATAGCAAAAAAAAGTCATCATGGTGCCAGCTCCCTGTGCCCACAGCACCAGTCAGCACTGAACAGAAGGGGCCAGAGGATAGGTGGGTTGAGTGGGTCACTCTGCTGTTAAGGATCCACGTCTAAACCACAGCCACACAGTTTTAGAGACTTATGTTGAGGTCTGCAGCTGTAACTTAAAAGAGGGTAAGGTGGAAAGTCTTGCACTCAACTGAAACTAGGGAGAAGGATGAAAAGAAGCCTTGTTGCAGACTTCCACAAGATAGCAGCTCCACTCCAGGCTGCTTATCTACCCTTTCACTTGGAGAAATCACAGGGCATTCTGCCAAGACTCAGTCCAGGCTATGGTCTAACCTTGCCTGCCTGGTCCATGTGGAGATATACGAGGTTGTCAGAGTGCCACACTGTGAATCTATTTCCCTGTGTTTCCTGGTGTCTTCCTCATTCTCACAATTGTCTGCTGTTTTTTGGCTCTTTAGTCTGTGTAGCAGAATGTGGTCCCCAACAGCTTCTATGTATATATGCTCTTGACTTCTTTTTCTTGGAGGGAGGGAGAAACTAACCTTTTTTTTTTTTTCATTTCTAGTGCAAAATCCTGGGGGAAAACTAAAAATAACTGAGCATTAGTAGGGGCCCACTTCTGTACCAATCAACTGTAGCTAATCCCCTGTGCAGATTGGTGGGGCAGGTGAGGTTGGGACCTCGGGGGAGATTATTTTCCAGAAAAACTAGATACATCATGAAATGGACAATAGGTATTTTCTAAAATTATATAGGCCTGTCTTTTATAAGCAGATGATTTTTAATATTTTCATTTAAAAGACTAAAGGGATTGATGCACTGACAGTTGCCTGGATAATAAACTACATATCAGAAGAAACTGATACATACCTATAAAGACTGGTCTTTAAATGTAGATTTAAAGATTCAAGTGAGAGAGTCACAGAAGCCAATGATGAGAGAGTCAGAAAAACCAGTGATGAGAACTTCAGGAAGATCAACAAGGACCAGCATTGCAGAGGGGTTAAAGATGACAATGAGAAGAGGTTACTGGATCAGACCCTTGGTACTGAAAATGTGGTCCATGGATGAGCTGCAGGAAGGAGTATGGTAGGCGTCTAGAAGTTTGTTGAAAATTTAGGATCCCAGGCCTCACCCCAGACCTACTGTAACTGCCCAGTGGGTTCATCTTGCCTGCTGCCTAGACAGAACTGATATATCAAGACAGGAGAATTGCAATAGAGAAAGAGTAATTCACTCAGAGCCAGCTATGTAGGAGACTGGAGTTTTATTATTACTCAAATCAGTCTCCCCACGCATTGGGGGGTGAGGGGTGCAGCCAGAGAGTCAGGAGTGCTGATTAGTCAGGTCAGAGATAAAATCATAGGGAGTCTATGCTGCCTTATGCTGAGTCAGTTCCTGGGTGGGCGGGAGAGGTGCACAAGATCAGATGAGCCAGTTAGATCTGGGTGGTGCCAGCTGATCCATCAAGTACAGGGTCTGCAAAATATCTCAAACACTGATTTTAGGGTTTACGATAGTGATGTTATCTCCAGGAGCAACTTGGGAAGGGTCAGAATCTTATAGCCTTCAGCTGTGTGACTCCTAAACCATACTTTCTAATCTTTTGGCTAATTTGTTACACCCACAAAGGCAGTCTAGTCTCCTGGCAAGAAGGGGTTCTGTCTTGGGAAAGGATTGTTATCATCTTTCTTTAAACTGTAAACTACAAATGAAGTTTCTCTCAAAGTTAATTTGGCCTATGCCCAGGAATGCACAAGGACAGCTTGGAAGTTAGCAGCAAGATGGAATTGGTTAGGTCAGATTTCTTTCACTGTCTCAGTTACAATTTTGCAATGGCAGTTTCACTACCATATGAGAACCTGCATTTTGGGAGGGCCCCA